CTCTCTCTCTCTCTCTCTCTCTCTCTCTCTCTCTCTCTCTCTCTCTCTCTCTCTCTCTCTCTCTCTCGCGCGCGCGCGCGCATACCGTAAAGGTGCAGACCAGAACAAGAACCGACCTCTCTCACATAGTACAAGATAGCGCAGCAGAAGGCTAATATACCAATGATCCGAATAATCAATGTTGCAATGCAGACCAAACATACATCATCATCATTCCATGGTGTGAAGGGGCCTGGCGCTCACACAGGAAGAATGCGCCGGTCCCCAACCATACACAGACGAAGAAGAGGGGGGTTAGACGAAGAAGAGGGGAAGATGGGAATGTCATCAACACCAAGTCTTTGGTACAGGTCCCAAATAATCCCTCGTCCAATGTCTCAATCCCAATGTGGAGTCTGGATCCAAATGTCGTCAAGGCCCAAAGTTACAAATCTCTCTCTCTCGTAGTCTGCAGATACTGAGAAGTCAGGTAGCAAGAGGGTGAGGGAGAGATGGTGGACTTAAAAGAGGAAGAAGAAGAACTCTGTCTCTCTCTCTCTCTCTCAGTCCGCTACTAACCTGTGAAGGTGGCGCCTTGTTGCAGGTACATCGAAGACGAAGCTGGAGCTATGGCGCCACAGGTAAGTCTCCCTGGCCTCCGCCAACCATCTCTCTCTCTCTCCAACGCTACTCTAGCTCCTAATAGCGCCCAGCGCTGAAGACTACTGCTAATGCGACTACTACTACTGCAGCGCTCCTCCAGAGTGCTGCTGCCGAATCCTGAAGACTGCCTCCTGCCTTCTGCACATGAAGTGCCTGTGAACTGCCTGGGAAGTCCCTCGTACCTCCTCCTGACTGCCTGCAGCCTGTAGGGCGGGGCAGTCTTATATAGTGCTGGTCCGTCCAGGAGGCTTCTCTTGCCAATGCCAAAACGTGCCAGACCCTGGCATTGCAGTTCAAACAAAGGTTGTCTTGAAAACAGGCCAAAAATGGCCTGTGCTAAAACCCTGGTCTGGTGCCTAAGTTTCAGGGCAGGTCGACTCTATGAGGGCCTGAAAATGGCCCTCGTTTTCAGGCTTTTAGGCTGAAACGACACAGGGCCTGTAGGCCCTCGTTTTCAGGCTTTTAGGCTGAAACGACACAGGGCCTGTAGGCCCTCGTTGTCAGGCTTTTAGGCTGCAACGACACAGGGCCTGTAGGCCCTCGTTTTCAGGCTTTTAGGCTGAAACGACACAGGGCCTGTAGGCCCTTGTTTTCAGGCTTTTAGGCTGAAACGACACAGGGCCTGTAGGGCCCTGAATTTCCGTCTGGTTGGGCCTTG